ATGTCGAGTTTGGACTCATTTTAAAGGATTTTTTATGAAGTTGACAAATATGTCAAAATTTAAAGTTGAAAGTTAGAATTTTTTGTTTTTTTGAGATAAATGCATTAAGTTTGGACTCATTTTAAAGGTTTTTTAATGAAGATGACAAATATGTCAAAATTGACGTTGACGTTTCAAACCGGAAGTGATTGTATCTCCATTAATATCAAAGTTAAATATGTCGAGTTTGGACTCATTTTAAAGGATTTTTTATGAAGTTGACAAATATGGCAAAATTAATAGTTGAAAGTTCGAATTTTTTGTTTTTTTTTGAGAGAAATGCGTCATGTTTGGACACTCAAAGGTTATTTTACGAAGATTACGAATATAATAATAAAATTAAAGTTGATATTGACAACTGAAAGTTTTTTTCACCCGAATGTTTCTAGTTCTCGTTCTAGTTTTAGTACAATAAAAATATGCAACATGTCACTAGAACTAACATTAGACCTAGAACTTGAATTATACCATAATCAATTTAAATCATATTAAAAATGTTACAGAAATGGCTTGTTGACACCAATTATTTTGTAACGGAATACGACGATTTAAAGAAAACGTTTGAAAAAATTAAAGAGAATACGGAATGGAAAAATTTTTCCAATCCTAAAAAAACCGAATGCCTTTATCAATTTTCTAAAGAAATCGAATCAAACACTGACATTTTATGCCAATTTAAGTATGCGTTACGAAGAGTTTTGCCAAAAGACACCAAAATCGGTTTGGAACAATTAAATAATTATCTACAATATTATTCCACTTTAATCGAGGACCAACAAGTAGATGAAGTAAACGATGAAAATGTCGTTCTTTGTTGTATTGATACAAAATATGAAATTTCATTAGCGGAATTAGGTTATGTGCTGGGTTCAACACTTGCTGGGGGGCGTAATATAATATTTACTGGCAATCAGGATTCTTGGTTTTTAAATTATTTAATTGACCTTTCAATTAAAGCCGGGTAATAAATGATATGATTAAAAAATAAAAATTAATTGCATTTTTTTAGAATTCCTGAAGAAACTATCAATTTCATTTGCACTAAAAGTAACGATTTACAACAATTATGTTCTAAACAAATCCACAAAAACATAAAAATTGACGATATTGAAGAATTCAACGATAAAAAAGTTTTAATAACCCCTAATTTGAAAGGATCCATGATTATTTTTAACGATTCCGATCTTGATTCAGCTGTCGAAACGGCTGTTAAAGCAATTTGGGGTTCATGCGGCTTGGTATGGATAATTTAAAAATGATGATTTAATTTTGTTTAATTTTTTGATGTAGTTACCATGGTCAATCGATACATTATTGGTTCAAGAGGATATTGTGAAAAAATTTAGTGATAAATTAAAAATTCGATTAAAAAAATTAGAGTTGAATGAGTTTTCAACGAATTCAGACGATATCTCCTTCTTTTACTCAGACGATTTTAAAGGAAATCTTGACAAAATGGAAAAAGAAGCGAAATCGCAAGGAATCGAAATTTTTAAAGCCAAAGAAACCAATAACACCAAATTAATAGTTCCAACATTATTTATCGGCGGAAAAGTTTCGGGGAATAAAATCATGTCAGAAATAAACACCCAACCAACAGTAGGAACTATTTTAGCGTTCCGAACACCAAAAGAAGCGATTAATTTAGCTAATAATAACCGACAAGGTCTCGCGGTCTCATTATGGTCCCAAAATATAAGTTTAATTAATGAAGTTGTACGAAAAATTGATGTCGGAACGATTTGGGTTAACTGCCATGGTGTTATTAAAGGTAGTGTTGGATTTACAACGAGAAAATATGAAGGGATTGGTTATTTTGGTGGTTATGAAGGTAAATTTTCACTGATTTTCGCCACAAATTAATTATTAATTAATTTTTAGGTTATTACGAATTTAACGAATTAATTGAAGTTAAAACCACCCAAAATCAAAAAACTTCATCACAAATTTTATCACAATCAAAAAAAGCTCAAGATTCATGGAATAAATTGCCGTTTAAATCACGTGCGGAGAAAATTTTTAAGCTTGTTCGTAACAATTCCGAATGGATGAGCTCCTTTTATAAAGCGGTTAATAACCTGGATACTATTAATACATCCCAAATTATTGATAACTTTGATTTGAAGAGTTATCGCGACCCAATTGGAGTTGTAATTATTAATAAGTCGGATAAAACCGTGCCTGATTTAATTTTAGGGGCCTTATTACTTGGAAATTCTGTTTTAATCGTCGAAAATAATAACAATTTCATTACTGAATTAATTAAAAATTTACCTTTGGGCGTTTTTGGAAGTGTTTCATCGTCAGAACTCGCATTGGAAAGTTTAAAACAATCCGTTGTTGTAATCGGCGGGGAAAAACCAGTTCCTAGAAGTTTTCTTACACAAAAAATGTACGATTATAAAAGCGGCGATTTATATAAGTTTATAATACGCAGATGTACCATTAAAAAGAATGTTTGGGTTGATGTCGGAGATTCTTTTTAATCTTGAGGTATTAATGGTTAAAATAAAACCGTTTGATTTTTTATTGTAACAATTTCTTATTAATTAAAAAATAAAAACTTACACTTTTGGTAACTTTTTTAATTCGTGCGTCAACCAAACAGCCGTTGATAATAAAATTAATGATCCACTTTGATGACTCGCCGCTAAACTTGTTGGAACGTAAGTTAATAAAGTTGAAATTCCCAAAGCGACCTAAAAAGAAATAATTACTTAACTCACTAGTGCATACAGTTATTCTTTTGATCAAAATAGTATATTATACGAGCATTATTAATTATGCCACTCGCTACGCTCTTGACATAAACTTAACCTTATAGCTCATTATATGTGAGTACAATACTATACTTCGTCCATGACTACTGTTGAAACTGAATCCATAAATTTATTTTTTTAAATAAATTTTTGAATAAAGTTTAAACGTCAATGTGACACAAATTCAATGCTACCAACCGTAACCAACTTCACAACAATTTGTCAAAATTAAATGTCAATTTTATGAAACGTCATGTTCTTTTTACGAAAATTAATTAATATATGAATAAATAAAAAATATGAATAATATAAATAAAATAATAATAAAAAAATAAAATAATATAGAATAATATAATAAAATACTTTTAGTATTTTTTAGAATGATATCGTTCAAAACAGTATTTAGGATATAAGCCTATAACACACTTTATACACATAAAATTTGACTTTTTTGTACAATGTTTACATCGTCGATCTGCCTCAGAGAAGCGAATCAAATGACCAATGTTATCATAACGGATTGCTAGCAATGGCTCAGATGCAGTAGTTTTCCCTCTTCGCTCCCCAACGCCATATGATCTTGATAAGCTGAGTTCTATGTATCGCCGAAATACCAGTAATGAAAAACAGTTTATATTATTAGGGTTCAATTTCTTCATAAGGAGCCACCCATTAACAACTGAAGTATCTAACGGAAATGAAAACATTGGCCAGTACCACTTTCTAAGTCTCATTCGTGTTCTGTATACTGCAACAAGTTCATCTAATTTATTCCCCATTCCTTTATTATAGCTTGTTACCATTTCGGACTGCTCTAAGGCTCTATAAGACCTACTTTCCTCACCTACAACAGTCCCACAGTAGTAGATACATACAGAACCTTCAAGATCTACACTTATGGTTCAAAAAGACGGAACAGGTTTGCCTTTCGGAACCTTTAGGGACAGGTACCATCATCATACAAGCGGAATTGGCCGCTATTAAACTTGCTGCTGACTGCATTTTGATTCCAACAAGCGAGGTAAATATTTTATTATTTTTACAGACAGTAGACAATCTGTTTTCGCTTTAAGTACAGTAATGATAACGTCTGCACTAGTAATGGATTGTCACATAGCATTGGAGGAGGCCGCGAAATATAATATATAATTATAATCGTGCAATCACGCAGACAGGCTGGCTAAACATGCTGCCAGTAGAGCGCCCTGTGCACCCGAACCGCTAATTATCTCCTTATTAGTTACTTATATCGAATCGATTAAGCGTATTACCCACAAAAAGTTCCTAAACGGGTGGGGTAAAACCCCGGGCTGTCATCTAGCCAAGGAATTCTTAAAATATCCTTCAGCAATAACAGTTCTTCGTAGAACTTGGTAAAAGTGTCCTTCGCACTGCCACAGGTCTCCTCACGGGATACTCATAACAAGAAGCTCTCTGACCAACCTCAGAATGAGGACCTTCGGGGGGAAATGGCCAACCACAGATGATATCAGGAAAATATCCTGATGAGGCAAATTCCTAAGTTGGTTGATGTGACTAGAGTGTGTGATGGGAAGATGCGCAAGGCGTCCAATGAGGCCATACTTTCTTTGCACCACCGTGTACTGCTGGATACAGATTTTCCTTGAATGTTGGTAACCATGTTAACCACTCTGTTGAACAAGCAATATTTCATCAATTTCTATAAACCGGATCTGCATGATTTATTTCTAAACCTCGTATTGGGGAAAGGACATTTTTCTGTTCGATTTGGGCGTATTGTACCTGTCGCACATATTTTTTTCTTCTTCAGATAACAAAGTAAACCAACACTGATAAAATAATTAATAGATCTTATACCCGTCATTTTCCCCAATTCCAGCTTTATTTATTAGGTCTAAAACGACATTTCCTCCAAGTCTAAACTTTCATTTCTTTTAGAACATTTTCCTGTATACAGACACCCCCTGTATACACGTTTTTGTAGCAGGACTTTAACAGTCGATAGATCTTTTAAAATTAACACAAAAACTTTATATAAACATAGATCGACAAACGCTTTGTTTTGGAGATATAGGATGTTCAAAATAACTTTTTAAATTAATTTTTTTTTTATATTACACGTGTATTTCAACCGATTCTATTCAAATTTGGTATTCGAAGGTTTTTTGGCATGAGAAAGACGATTATAAAGTCTGTTTTGCTATAGCCGGTAGAGGGCGCTCTGTACATATTCTTTACGGATTAAAATATCCATCACTTTTCTGACAGTATATTTTTGGGCTTTTTGGATAAAAATTCTTATTCTGTGTACTTTTTTAAACAAAAAAGGTAGTCTTATCAAACTGCGCTAAAGTTGATCGTTTTCAAGATAATCCGTTTGTTATTATTCGATATAGACCAATATGAGACCAATATGAGCTGTCAAAGTTAAGCCAAAAATTTACATTTTCTCTTTTATTTCGGGTATAAGTAAACCGTAGAATTTAAAATTTTGTATGTATGTACTACTGGTTAATACCTTATTTTCAACAATACCTTAAACTTCCCTAGCGCCCCCTTGATTTTTTTTATAAGAACTTTTTAACGCTGTGGAATATTAACATAAAAAAATATGGCTTGTAAAGCTCATTATTTAGTGGTACTTTTTTGTCTCTTTAGTATTTTTCTTAAAGTTAATAGCTTCCGTGTAAAAAATAAAATATCGTGCTATGTACCGCTATGTGCCGCCATGTTTAGCTAAAATTATTCTAAAAGTTGGTTCTGAGAACTAGTAAGTTTCATTTACGGTGAATCCTCATAATTGTTGATGATTATTAATAATTTTTGACTGTTATTAAACAAGAGTATCTATTTTTTAGTAGTGTTTAAAACAACGAAATTTGTTCAGAGATGAAAATCACAGTTAATTGGTGTTATTTAGTTAATACTAGATCCTAGTAAGTGCACAACTTCCATAGGCAGCTATAAAGAAATTTTTTTTTAATAATAGCAGCGCTTTACAGTACAATGTAGAATTTTTTATTTTTTTACGCTAAAACTATTATCTTTAAGGAAAAAACTAAAGAGACACAAAAATACCAGTAATGAATAAGCTTTACAACCCATATTTTTTTATGTTAATATTCCATGGCGTTAAAAAGTGGTTATAAAAAAATCAAAGGGGTTATAATTCATTCCCTTAGAGGGCGCTAGGGAAGTTTAAGGTATGGTTGAAAATAAGGTATTAACCAGTAGTACTTTATACATACAAAATTTCAAATTCTACGGTTTACCTATACCTGAAATAAAAGATAAAATGTAAATTTTTGGCTCAACTTTGACCAATTTGCTCGAAAACAAAAAAGTTGCGACCGTATGTTTATACAGGGTGAGTCAGAAAGAATGGGAAGTCCGAATACCGGCGATACTAGACACCAAAATATGATGATTTAACGTAACATCTCTTATACTTATAACTAAATGTCAGTAGTTTTCGAGGCATAGGGTGTTGAAAGTTAAATTCTTATTTCGAAATTTCTTGATAATTTTGAAGGTTTTTGTACTATTAATATAAAATTTGGTAGTTTTATGTTTTCGAGCATGAGAAATACAAATTTGAAACTTGTTTTGTTATTGCTCGTAGAGGGCGCTAGATACACGCTGCTCGTTTGATAAATCAAATCATAAGTTTTTTGGCTCGACAGCTACGACCAATAAGAGCTGCAAATCACAAAGAGTATTCAATTTTACATAAAAAAGGTACTCTTATTTAAATTGTCTAAGTCTATCGGTTTTCGAATTATTTACTTTTAAATGTTTAAATGTATTTTTTCTTCTAAAATATTTATTTTTGAACATAAGCAAAGTTGGCTTATTTTTGCGCTCATGTTTCGACAATTGCTTGTTAATTGTCAACATTGATCTAATTTCCGTGTGCAATAATCATTTTTACCAACAATAAAGTTATTACCAATTTGAAAATGCCACGACATAATGAGTTTTTTAATAGTGAGAAATCCAGATTTAAGTCCACTGGATTTTTGAAAATGGTCACAATATTCTATTGTTATTAATTAATTGTTATTGTTATCGATTATTATCGTTACTAATTGCTATAGTTACTGTGTGTTATTGATTTTAAATGTTAACCTTAAAATTACTTTGAAACAATTAAAAGCAGATAACTTGGAAACCAGTAGACTTAGACAATGTAAGCAAGAGTACCTTTTTTGTGCAGAATTGAAAACTCCTTCAGATTTCTGGTTCTAATTCACCATACCTCAACTGACAAAATAGTCATGACTTGATATCTCAAACGTACAGTGTGTATCTAGCGCCCTCTACGAGTAATCACAAAACAAATATCAAATTCGTATTTCTCATGCTCGAAAACATCTAACTACCAAATTTTATGTTAATAGTACAAAAACCTTCAAAATTATCAAGAAATTTCGAAATAAAAATTTAACTTTCAACACCCTGTGTATTAAAAACCACCGACTTTTGTATAAGACATCTTAGGTTAAATCGTCATATTTTGGTGTCTAGTGTCTCCGGTATTCGGATTTCCCATTCTTTCTGACTCACCCTGTATAAAAAACATGTGTTATTTTGGCAAATACTACGTCCTAGTAAAATTTCCGATTAAAAACTGAACCACCTGTATATCCTTCACTTGTATACAGAGACCAATTTTTAAATCCAAATCTCACAGGTTTACCTTTCAGCAGTTTTTTAGTTTTCATTAAGTTTTGAAGAATGTTTCGTAGAATTGTTGACCTTGACTCTTCCACATCATTCGTTTGTTCGGGTATTTGCCATATCCAGATAGTAACATACAATTATTGTTGACTTTATTGTTTTCTTGCCAATAATCCAATTGATTTTCTCCTTGGTCGGCTTCTTTGGAATGTTTCCTGGGGTCGCATGAAATGTTGCAAGAACACAATGGAGTATGTAGTATCTTCACGCCAATTACTCTACTTTTGGCGCTTTTGATGATTTTGATGTTGAAGAGGGAATATGTAAGTGGTAGAAGATCTTTTTCATCAAAATCGTTATCAGATTCATGAAACTCAACATCACATTGTTGGTTTAGGATGCCTTTCGATAAATCCTCTTCCGTTTCGGCTCCTTGGTCATCAGGTAGCGTAATGTATATGTTTACATGATCATTATCCATATTATACATACCTGTTGCTGCGTTTATTATGTTGTTCAAATTCCATGGCACCAAAACCACACAAATCGCCATTTTTTTTATAATATGACATTTGAGTAACAAATGCAGCGCGCAAGTAGAGTGCAACAAATGCATAACAGGTGGCGCCAATTATCAATGAATTAAACTAAAGTCCCTAGATTTACAAAGTACCGCGGTTCATGACGCCTGTATTCGAGCCAAAATGGCGGTTTGACAACTTGTCACTGCATCTCACCACTTATTTACAAAAATATTGCCGTCCTGTTACCTTTGGAGTTGCAAAAAATAGCAGTAAGAAGAAGGGCTTTCGACTCTTAAGAGTACCACGAGAAAAAAGAAAGGAGTTTTGGCGTAATGTTATCAATAGAACGACATAGTTTTAAATTTCCCGCTTGACTTTCGAGCCAAAATGGCGGTAAACCGCGGTACTTTGTAAATCTAGGGACTTTAAATTAAACTATGCACTAATGGGTTAATTAAAGTTTTAAACAATTAAAAAAATTACCTGAAGCCAAGCGATTACAACTAAAGCATTAACAGCGTTATAAGCTCGAGGGGGTAAAATCCTCTTCTTTGACATAACCCATAAAATACTGATTAAACTGACAGTTGTGGTCCCTAATATTCGATGATTAAATTGCACCGTAGTCGGATTTTCAGTAACATTCGTCATTTTTGGTTCATAAACTAATAAATCATCAGGAATCCATTTATCAGCCATTTTTGGGAACGAATTGTACACCAATCCAGCATCTAATCCAGCCACAAAAGCCCCCGACAACGCCGTTAAAAACACCATTCCTTTACAAGAATGAGCAAACATTCTAAACTTCCTAGCGGCGATTAAAACTTCTTTTGAATTAAACGTTATCGTTTTTGCCGGTAATAAATGATCCAAAGCCGACCAGGCGAACAAAGTATATAAAATAAGTGCTAAACTTAAATGTGCTGCTAAACGGTATTGTGATACTCTTGGAACGTCGCTTTGGGAATGAAAACGATCTTCTAATCCTGATTTAACCATGTACCATCCCATTAAACCTTGAGCAGCTATTAATCCGCCAAAACAAAGAACGCGAAACTTCATTGGGCCAGAAAAGTAACCTTTCGACCAAAAATATGCAGCGGGAAATAAAAATATTGCTCCTATTGCTCTTCCCCACATACGATGAGTAAATTCCATGTACCAAATAAATTTAAAATCGGATAATGTGATATCTTTGTTTTTTCTAAAAAAATTATTAAATAAATAAATTAAAAAACAATTTAGGTTAATTTACATTTTAAATTCGGGGTATTGTTGATATTTTTCAAATTCATCAATCCATTCTTGTTCATTCCGAGGCATCTTTTCACCTAATAACCTCCAAGTTACCATGGAAAGTCCAGATTCGGTTAAACGAGTTACTCCACCTAATTAAAAAAATAAATAAAAATTGATTTTAGTACTATATCATGCAAATACCTGATTTATATTACTTAGGATTAATAAAAATAATTTTTAGGTTATGATTTAATAATCAAAAATAATTAATTTTTATTTAAGATTTTTTAGTTTTCTCAACAACCTCTTCCATAACAGTATAAATTCCTTTTAATACGCAATTATAACCGGTTATACCTAATACTACGGCCCCAAAAACCATTCCTCCGCAAGTCATCAACCAATATCCAACAGCTTTTTTTCCTTTCGTTGAAGAATCCGATTTTAAACGTAACGAAATCGTCCCGGATTGACGAGCCGATGGTGGTAACTAAAAGTTATTGCGTTAAAATACGTTTAAAATTAATTTAAAATAAAATTCTAACCTTGAAATTCGTTTTTTGGAAGTTTCCGAAAATTCCTCGAAATGCATTTTGATTCGAAACGTTTGGAGATGTCAGAAATTGTTTGATTGGGGGCAAAATGAAACGGGATGTCCTTACTAAATTTAACATCACCTAAAAAGAAATTTTATTAGAATATGTTAAATAAAAGCAAAATAACTAAAATCTTGACTGACGCGAAACCGGCTAAAGCTAAATGATTCTAGTTTTGATTGTTATTCACCGCTAAATTGTTGTATATTTTTATTGATGTAGTTGGAAGGTTATTAGAAAAGTACGTACTTCGAAAAATCCTATTATATAGTAGAATGAGTAGAATTTAGGATTAGTAGAACTAGAATCATTTAGGTTGGGTTAATTTTTGTTCGGGTTTAAGTTTGAACTGAGATAGAGCTCGTTGTCCTCTCCTTACAAATAACCACCAAAATTGCCAAGATTTTATTAAATTTCTTTCATATTTATAAACACGTTATCAAATAACCAACATTGCAACAGTAATGAGTAATCAATCATACCACAAATTACAGATTCCTGTAAAGCAATTATTAAAATGTCATAAACATTAAATTTATTTTAACACACATTAATAAAAAATAACAAGGAAATCGATGTATTAAAGTGAACCAGACAAATATAATCGTAATCATAAACATTATCAGAAATTTACATTAGATAACACCAAGTTATTTTAGTGTGTTTTAGTTAGCAACAATGAAGATAGCAATTTAATTTTTAAATATTAATACCAACCTTAATTTTTGATTTTTTTTTATTATATTTTTATTTTTGTGACAAATATTAAAACATTTTATAAAAATTAAGAATATGTCAAAATGACATTGACATTTCAAATCGGAAGTTAGTTATCATATAATAGACAAATGGATAACTTCATGGTGTTGTTTCATGATGTATTCTTTATTAAAAAAACCTTTAAAATGAGTACAAACAAGACCCACTTATCTCAAAAAACAAAAAAATTTGAATAAAAAACATTAAATCCGAAGTTAGCAACAATGAAGATAGTACTTTTAATTTTATTAATACCAACATAATTTTGGATTTTTTTTTTATTATGTTTTGGTTTTTTTGACAAATATTAAAACATTTTATAAAAATTAAGAATATGTCAAAATGACATTGACATTTCAAATCGGAAGTTGCTTATATCTCGAGTAATATTGGAATTAAACGTATCATGTTTGGACTCATTTTAAAGGATTTGTCACGACGATTACAAAAATGTCAAAATTGACGTTGACATTCTTAACCGGAAGTTGACCATAACTTCATTAATATTGAAGATAAATATGTCGTGTTTGTACTCATTTTAAAGGATTTTCAATGAAGATTACAAATATGTCAAAATTGAGGATGACATTTTAAACCTGAAGTTAGTTATCATATAATAGAAGTTTTATAACTGAAGTGAATGTTAGTCACAGTGTTAGTCACTTTTCAGCACTTTCTTTTTATTTTTAACGCGTTTTTTGATCATTTCGCATTGATTAAAGATCTCAAAACGCAAGGCTAAACCCGAATATTTCTAGTTCTAGGCAGTGTTGCCGCACCGAAGAAAATAAATGTACCAAAATGTACTGAATTCTGAGAGGAAATATTGGAGACCTTTTTTTTAAGTCATAAGTTTAAACAAAACTTGTAAAATGTAGTAGTATTACTTTATCATTTATGAACGATATTTACTACATTCCCCAACAATGTACTGATTTATATAAGACGATATCAAACGGCAATGCTAGTGTAAGACTAGAACTAACACTAGACCTAGAGTCTCAGTTGTGAATATCAACTTTAATTTTGTTATTATATTCGTAATCTGCATAAAATAACTTTTAAAGTTAGTCCAAACATGACGCATTTCTCTCAAAAAAAAACAAAAAGTTCGAACTTCCAACTATTAATTTTGACATATTTGTCAACTTCATAAAAAAGTCATTTAAAATGAGTCCAAAGTCGACATATTTAACTTTAATATTAGTGGAGATACAATTCCGGTTTGAAACGTCAACGTCAATTCTGACATATATGTCAACTTCATTAAAAAACCTTTAAAATGAATCCAAAGATGACGCACTTATCTCAAAAAACAAGAAAGTTAGAATAAAAAACATTAAACCTGAAGTTAGCAACAATGAAGATAGCAATTTAATTTTTAAATATTAATACCAACCTTAATTTTTGATTTTGTTTTATTATATTTTTGTTTTTGTGACAAATATTAAGACATTTTATAAAAATTAAGAATATNACCCTTAAACGGTCATAAATACTTAAATGTCTTTAAAATATGAAATTTAAATCGACAAATATGTTTTAGGAGTTTAATTTTCCGTCGAGCCATTTCCTCATCCATTATTTTTTTGTGTTTCTATCTGATTCGTCTACCTTAATCCCTCTCTACCTCAATGATTCCTTCTAAACTAAAAGACTGATAGATTAATACATTTCTTGTTTTAAGTTCTTATTAAAACTAGGTACAATATACACTCAGCAGCAGAAGTCTGGGTACAAAGAACTTAGAATGCTATAACTGAGAAAAAAAAATTTCAAATCGTATTATTCTGTATGTTAACAATATATAAATATAAACATTACTTTCAACTTTTAATTTTAACATATTTGTCAACTTCATAAAAAATCCTTTAAAATGAGTCCAAACATGACGCACTTATCTCAAAAAACAAAAAAGTTAGAATAAAAACATTAAACCTGAAGTTAGCAACAATGAAGATAGCAATTTAATTTTTAAATATTAATACCAACCTTAATTTTTGATTTTTTTATTATATTTTTGTTTTTGTGACAAATATTAAAACATTTTATAAAAATTAAGAGTATGTCAAAATGACATTGACATTTCAAATCGGAAGTTGCTTATATCTCGACTAATATTGGAATTAAACGTATCATGTTTAAATATGTCAAAATTGACGTTGACACTTTTAACCGGAAGTTGACCATAATTTCATTAATATTGAAGATAAATATGTCGTGTTTGTACTCATTTTAAAGGATTTTTAATGAAGATGACAAATATGTCAAAATTGAGATTGACATTTTAAACCTGAAGTTAGTTATATAGAAACTAGTTAGACTTAAATTCTATATAAAATAGAAACCAGTTGAAAAGTACAAAATCAAACTCTAGATAATTTTGAGTCGTTTAAATGTTAAAAAAATTGTAATAAAAAATGTTACTTTAATAAGTTAAATAAGTGATTTATATGTAATGATTAATTTCTCAAAAGTATTAACTTAAAAATATTTAAAAAAATAAAAATAAATAAAAGTAGGCAACCATGCGCACATTTGTGATGATCAGGTTGCATACGCACACGAAGTATTTAAAAAAAGCCGTTTAAACATAAAAACTCATAATAAAAAAAGCGGTGATTTGTACGAAGTGATTGATATAAAACGATGAATTTTGCAATGGGAAAATTGGTTTTACTCCGAAACGGGAGCTTCAACAAAGATTTTATACAACCAGGGATAAGATTTTTGGAGAAAACAACAAAAAACCAGGTAAAAATCGAAACTGTTGATGAAACGTGTTTACATTACGTTTTTCACACCTCTCATTACGTTTACAGATTAAAATCGCCCCAATTCGACTAAATAATGTCCATGTAATAAATCGTTTTGCATATTTAATCGCCGAAAGACGAAAGTTAATGTACAAAATCATTTTTGAAAGAATCACCTTTGTAAATATAACCACAATAACTTACTTAAGTACTATAATTAATAGTAAAATAACGGATATTAATTTAAAATTAAACGTGAAGTTATTTAATAATAAAAAGCGAAAAATTTGCAAAGTTGACCAAAAAATAACCTCAAAAAAGATTTTAAAACAAAATGACAATAATAATTTTAAAAGTAATGATTTAACTATAATAAAAATTGATAATAATAATAAAAGAAAGCGTGGTGGTTCCCCTATATTTATTAACGATTCAAAACGTTTAAAACCTGTAGAGGAAATAACCTCCAATCAAATTCGAGATGAACTCATTGATGAAAATGACCCAAAATGGTCTCATTTTCATGGTGGTTCTTTAACTCAATATTTAAAAATGATGAAACAAGAATGGGGTATACGACACCTTTCCAATAAACACTCAAATTTAACGAGAATCGTTGGTTTGAAAGGAAACGTATCGAAACCTCATCTTAAAAAATGTACATTAACTTTCACTTCGAGGATTAAAGATTTACAAAACATCGAAAGGAAATTGGTTCGTGAAATTTATTCCTTGCGCAAACAATTGGGGAAATGCCGTTATTCTTCTCAAGAATACTTTAATCTGCAAAGAAAAGTAAGAAGCTTGAGACAAAAAATGAACGAAATCGATAACCGTTTAAACGTAATGAACGAAGCTGAAAAAGAAATAAAGAAAATCAATCAGGTTTATAAACGGGATTGTCCCAGTTATCAAGAAGATGTGGAGGATTTGGTTGATTTGGATTTTTGTAAACGATTTTATACACCATGATCATAAAAATTGTAATTCTACGATTTTTTGTTATTTAGTTTTTATTTTTGTAGTTTTTGATCGAAATCTGAAAAGTTTTTTGATTATATTTTATTTGATATTATTAGATAAAAGCATTAAAACTTTTTTTTTGACATAAAGATTCATTTTTATTAAGTAGATAACTGCATTACCATCATTATTAATCTTAATAATTGTATCTTTTTCCAATTACATAATTGGATTAAACATTAACAAATTATATTTATTTTATATTGATTAACGTTATTTCTTTTTTACTTCGCCTTGCTTCAATCAGATTATTATTATAATAAAAAAAAACTTTGTACCATTCACCGTAAAGATAATACCCATAAATTTATTTTAGCGTATTAATCGTATCGATTAGAAACAGTTTTGAATTAAGTTTCGTCGATAAAACACAATTTAAATTAAAAATGCTTTAATTAAAAGGGGCTTACCGGTATATTGAGTCCAGCACAAAAAGTTAGGTTATGTTGATGTTGAATCGAATGATATTAGCTCCTGTCAAAATAATTAATGAAAAATAAATTAATTAATTACTTAATTAATGATTTTACACTTACGTTTGAGGCCAAAATGAAAAAGATTGGGTTTTCCTATTGTGTGGCGTAATAATTCTACGAAAAATAATTTTTTCTAAAAATCTGCATTACCGACCATAAATAATTAGAATTTTTGAAAATATTGTTAGATTATTAATTTATTGTGTATTAAATTATAATTGATTATATTAAAAGTAAATGGACTTAAAATTGGATTGAAAATTGAAGGAAAATATAATTTTGGAAATTTAAATAAAATTAATAATTTGAGGTTATGCAACCAACATCACTCCACATAGGATAATTTAACCTAGCAAGGGTTAACTGCAAAGTATCCTCAGCACAGAGTATAATAATCTGTAACCCTCAGGAATCATGGACTATCGAAAGGAATCAAGATTATTATCATTATTATATAGTGTACCCCAACCTTCCTTCTGCAATGCGACCATTAGGTCATGGACTAGAAGTGTAAGTATCTCAGTCTCCAGTTACATTTGGTGAGATGAGTTCTAGTGAATCATATACGAGTGTGATTACTTTTCACTCAATCAGAGCTTGATGATTTGATGAGAGACTTGGGACTTACCAAGGAGAATGCTGAACTCTTGGGTTCTAGACTAAAAGAAAAAAGCTACTGGCTGCTAGAATATCTTTTCATAAGTACAGATTTAGAGATCAAATGTTTGGAATTGAATACCAAGCTAGAAGAAGATAGAAAATACCAAAAAGAAGCCTGTACACCTGCAGAATGACACATATGCTTCACTTCCTCTAGGGCATGCTGTAGACCTCAAAGAAAATAACAAGAATTTGAAAGAGGTGTTAAATAAAATTAAATATACTGATCATAATTAGATAGTTTGTGGCTATCTGAAAGTTTTGGGCATAATGCTTGATTGCCAACCCCACAAATATTGAATCCCAGAAAAATTTATTATCTTCCCCCTCTTCACATCAAGTTGGGACTCATGAAACAATTCATCAAAGCTTTACCCAAAACTTGGCTTTCAATGCCATTGAATACAGTTTCTACATTTGTAAGAGGCAAAACTAAAAGAAGCTATTTTTCAACACAAATAAGGATGGCAAGAGGAGAATTTATATACATAAATAACTTGCTACAAGTGAAACTTATTTTCTTCGCCTCTAATTACCAAGGAAATGAGGCAACATGGGGGGTGTAGACCTAGCCAATTAAAGGGTTAAAACTAATAACTTTTTTATTACAGGGATTAATTATTCAGAATGAATTAATATAATACATAATTTTTCGACTATTACAATTAAAAAGATGACATAATGCATTTATAAGGACACTAATAAAGTATTTACAACAAAATTAATCAATTTTAATTATATAATTTAATTAGTTATCAACTCGTTACCCTAAAATAAAAAAAAATAAATTAATCCAATACAATTATAACAAAATCTTTTTAACTCACCCATTCTCTAGCCATTAACATCAAAATGTGACTATCTAATTTAGGTCCAATCAATGGATTCATTTGTGCCATATAACAACATAACCAGCTAATAATTAAAAAAATCGAAATAGTAAAAATCTTATTTAATAAAAAGTTGAAAATAACTTACAATAACCAGCATGTGACCGCAGTTAGAATCAAAACGACTTGGATAACCCTGAAAAGATTCGTCAAGTTATTGATTCTTGTGTCATGTTTTTTCGAATAATATTAATACTTACCCTCTATTCGGCCCGCGAGGTACGAAAAACGGTAAAACGATACCCACAGCACCCCAAAGGGCGGTAAAAATGATAAAAGGTAAAGCAGCTGCACCCATTATTACGATTAAAACTCGACGAAACTCGATCGACTCTGTTAAACGATCATATGACTTATGTCAAATCGAACTCGTGATTACATTTTAAGCGGTACCAACTTAAATATTATCACTAATTTTGTTTTTTTATGTTGACAGATAACCTCAAAATCAAAATGAATAGGTTAAGTAGAATTTTTCAACCGATTAATGTAATTCCTAAAAATGTTCAAGTTAAATCACAAGATATGACATCAAAGAGTCAAAAAGTAAAAAAAATTTAAAATGTAATTCATTTTTTAACGTATTTTTTTTTAGTTAATGTTGGATTTAGGAATAATCCGACAAGCTAATTCAGGTTGTTTTCATTACTTACCTTTGGGTATTCGAGCTTTGGAGAAATTGAAGAACTTGATCGATCAGCACATGCAAAGTATTGGAGCTCAAAAAGTAGCTTGTCCTACATTAATTCACACAAATTTGTGGGAACGAAGTGGTCGAATTCAAGAGGCAACACCGGAATTATTTCAAATTAAAGATAGACATGATCATTTATATATTTTAAGCCCAGTAAAGACGCTTTTAAAATCAGAATTAATTTGTAAAGTTAATTAATTCTTTTTAAGACTCACGAAGAAGCAATTACAGATTTATTAACGACAGTTTCGCCGTTATCTTATAAACACTTTCCTTTACGTTTATACCAAATAACCAGTAAATACAGAGATGAAATGAAACCCCGATTTGGATTGATAAGGAGTAGGCAATTTTTAATGAAAGATTTATACACTTTTGATGTTGATTTAGATGCAGCAAAAGAAACTTATGAGTTAATTTGTAAATGTTATAATCAAATTTTTGAGTTAGTTGGAGTGGAATTTTTTAAAGGTAATTATTTCAAAATTTTGTTGTGGAATTAATTAATTTGAGGGTAGTTTTGGGATCATCAGGTGATATTGGAGGGATTTTATCCCACGAATTTCATTTTCAAACGGATATTGGGGAAGATAAATTAATAAAATGCGGAAATTGTGGTTATATGGGTAACTTGGAGCTTTGTGGAAGTAAAGATACATGTTTAAAGTGTGGATCAACAAAAATAAATGTATTTAATGGAATTGAGGTGGGACATACCTTTCTATTAGGTGATAAATACTCAAAACCAATGAAGGCTACTTATTTAAACAACAATGGGAAACCAAATATATTACAAATGGGTTGTTACGGATTGGGGATATCAAGAATTCTTGCTGCTAGCTTAGAAAAGTTATCAACTGATCAAGAACTTCGTTGGCCCATTAAATTAGTACCCTTTAAAATTTTAATAATTCCACCTAAGGTAAGAAAATTTCGATTTTTAAATTTTATACCGCACATAACCTAAACGCACTAAAAGAATTCTGTTTTGATGGCGTTGCCATGGTTACAGCACGTTGCCATAGTTATTTTGTGGTTATAGAGACATTTCAAGAATAGCAACTAACTTCAAACGTGTTTAGTAAACGGCCGCTATTTTATCAATCCTAAGATTTTCTAAAAAGAATGGCAGATGCCCGAAATTATTTATTTAATGGCTTAGTGTATACTCTTTGAAAATGAAGAAATTCATGATAAATTGAGCAGTAGGTACCTATAAATTAATTAAAATTGTAAATAAATGTCATTAAAGCGCCATCTGTTGTTATGAAACCATACTTTTTGCGTTTGCCAACTTAAACCAAATTCTCTGGTGAACGTGCCTAAAATCGATGGTTTTTTTTTAATCGATAGGGAATGACCCCAAAAAACGGCGTTAATAATAAAAAAAAGTGCGGAAAAGTGTGGTACTTACCGAAAAATCACATTAAATCCTAACCTCAAATTGTTTAATTTAAAGCCACGCACAAAATAAAACTGATAAACTTAAAAGTAAAGTTATTTTCACTAAACTTGTTGAGATTACAACATATTTTCGGAGGAAAACCTTGTTTTATAGGCTTTCAATCCATAACATAGAAAATAACTTCGTAGAAATGCAACTCTCTAAACAAAAATTTCGTACTAAAAATTGAACACGTGTGGCGCCATCTGTTGGGGATATTTTGGAATTATTAAGCTAAGAACCGAACCACTAGAATGGTTGAATTGAGTTTATATATAAAAGCTCCAACCATAGAATAACTGTTAGGAAATTAACGTTCTGACTGGTTAGGAATTCCTCAGATGCAATTACCTATGTATGGCAATTACACCTGTCAAATAATGCCGCCACATTTGAATTTCACTGCATCACATGACATCTGACGAGCTTCCAACCAGTTATAACGTTAGCTGAAACAAAGCTATAATGTCAATTATAATCTACATAATTATTTAATCATACCACTTTATTATACTCTTACCGAAAAATCACTTTAAAATGACGTTTTCATCTGTCATTCTGAACAAACTTCAAATTTAAAAATATAACACGAATTGGAATCTATACTTTTTATATTAAAAGCATGATACTGGTAATAATTGTTATTGCTGTCTCTCATCATTCCCACTATTAATAATAAAATTATTGGTTTAATTAAATTATTTCAGTATAGACGTAATGCCATCTTACGGTGGGATTTCGACATACAATCAGTCCCAAGTTCTCCTATCAAAGATCCCTGGGGCTGATGTATAACGACTAATTGCCTGGCATTAGATAGAATCATTGAGGTCTTATATATAAAAATGAAGCCAGAAAGGTCGCCATGTTAGATGTACCAACTTAGCGGGAAATTCGAAATTCTTATATATATTTATGCAAGAATTTACATTATTAACATAAACTAAGAAGAAAATATAGGGTTTGACAGGTCTATTTCTTATTGTTTTAGAATAAAGCTAAAAATAAACTTTTTTTTGAGTTGTCAAAGAAATTAAATTTACAGTTTCCTGTAAATTATAGCTAAAACGTAAAAAAAAAAAATATTTAATATTATTAAATGACTTAATAAGTTATTGATAGATGGCACTTATATATATATTTTTAATTCAAATAAGCATAGCAACATTTGTAATCAAAAATTTTCTGAAGTGTCAAATTAAAAATCCTGTTTTTTATGATGGATTACGAAAATTAACGTTTAACATGTTAGAATGTTACATATTAGAAAATAAAGTAAATTTTATATAAATTTTTAGTTACAGTACCGTAATTTACAGGAAACTCTAAATTTAATTTCTTTGATGACACTTTAGTTTATTTTTAGCTTTATTCTAAAACAATAATAAATAGACCTATAAAACCGTATATTTTTGTAATCAGTGATTGTTTCAATTTAAAAAAACGAAAATTGTCATATCTAGAAATCTAAAACCGAAAAATTTTTTTTGACTACGTCATCAAATTCTCTGTAAAAAAGTGTCCATATAATGTCTTAAAGCCAAAAAAGAGCAGAACATTTTCGATAAGATAGATGTACTTCTATAGTTTTCCTTTCTATCAAATAACAAAGTTGTTTAGAAGAAGAGCAATTACACGTTTCTGCGTGTAAAGTAGCTAATGTACACAATGCTATTCTTGAATTTATAGTAAACATAACCTATGTCTTTTTTAGTTTGGAAGTAAAGAAGAAAAATCTTCTTCAATTTCAATCGAAAATCTTTCAAAAAACCTCGAAGACATCGCAACATTAAAAAACGATGTTTTAATTGATGATCGTGTTCAAATGACAATTGGAAGACGATTTTTAGAAGCCAAACAAGTGGGATATCCTTTCATCGTTGTTTTAGGCCAGAAAATCATCGAAAATCCCCCATTATTCGAATTAAACAATTTAATTGAGGGAAAACAACATTTCCTCACTGAAAATGAATTAATATCGTATTTAAAACAAAAATGTTTAGAAAGATAATAAAAAAATGTTTTAATTATCAAGAATTTATTTAATAATTACCCCTTAAAGAGTTTCATCCTCTCCTTTTCCACTAGTCACACTGATTCTTGATAAACTATCGTGTCGCCCTCTATCGGATGTCGTGTCTGGAAATCCTAATAAAGCACAGCGTACATGTCGCACCCACATTCTACACTGAGCTTCTCTTGCATTAATACTTTGTGCGGTTTCTTCAAAACGACCGCGCTCTTTCGGAAATATGTTTGGTAGTTCTAAGTAACTAAGAAATGAATTTGTAATAAATAATTACATAATTAAAATAAAATATGAATATACCTATGATCGGTTTTTGGTGGTAATTTAAATTCGGGAATTTCGGTTATTTTCTTCGTATAAGTCTTACTAGTCCGTTCTCGGGATAACAAAACCGGATCAAATTCCTCTCTGGGAATCCCTAAAAGTCCCAACGCAATCCCCATTTTATTTATATGTTCTTCCGGGACCGAATAACACGCTTCGATAAAATCTATGCGATCATCTCGCCTTTTTTAAGTAAATCAACAAAAAAAAATTATTTGAAACAAAATAATCGTTGTTTAGTTTACGGTTGGAATAATCTAACTCCAGCTCCGAGTAATCTATGATCGTGCTCAGCGAAAATAAGCTCTTTAATCACCGGCGATCTTTGTAGAAGTTTCCGTTCGAAAAGATTCGCCGCTCCAATTAAAACCCTATCTTCTTCTGGATTTCGCTTCGAAGCGTTTACATTTTTGCGATGGGTCACCAAGTTGAAAGAATCACCTCGAAACATCCTATTCATTTCCAATTCTATAAATTAAAAAGAATTCAAATTGTTAATATAACCTCAATCAACAAAAAGTGACGTAACCAACTTCATTGTTGTTTATAATCGAAATATTTTTATTTAATTAAAAAAATAAATAAATTTGTGCTATTAATTTTTAATTGTTTTAATATAAATGAATAAAACCGAATTGAACCTAACTTAATTGTTTAAAAACATAATCTCAATCAACAAAAAGTGAAGTAACTCACTTCATTGTTGTTTATAATCTAAATATTTTTATTTAATTAAAAAAATAAATAAATTTGTGCTTTAAAGATAATTTGGGCTATTAATTTTTAATTATTTTAATATAAATGAGTAAAACCTATTTGCATCTAACTTAATTGTTTAAAAAGATAACCTCAATCAACAAAAAGTAAAGAACCCACCTTCATTGTTGTTTATAATCCGAATATTTTTATTTAATTAAAAAACTAAATAAATTTGTGCTTTAAAGATAATTTGAGCTATTAATTGTTAATTATTTTAATATAAATGAATAAAACCGGATTGAACCTAACTTAATTGTTTAAAAACATAACCTCAATCAACAAAAAGTGAAGTAACTAACTTCACTGTTGTTTATAATCTGAATATTTTTATTTAATTTAAAAAATAAATAAATTTGTGCTTTAAAGATAATTTGAGCTATTAATTTTTAATTATTTTAATATCAATGAGTTAAACCGGATTGAACCTAACTTAATTGTTTAGAAACATAACCTCAATCAACAAAAATTGAAGTAACCAACTTCATTGTTGTTTATAACCGGAATATTTTTATTTAATTAAAAAACCAAATAAATTTGTGTTTTAAAGATAATTTGAGCTATTAATTTTTAATTAATTTAATATAAATGAATAAAACCGCATTGAACCTAACTTAATTGTTTAAAAACATAACTTCAATCAACAAAAAGTGAAGTAACTAACTTCATTGTTGTTTATAATCTAAATATTTTTATTTAATTAAAAAAATAAAGAAATTTGTGCTTTAAAGATAATTTTTGCTATTAATTTTTAATTATTTTAATATAAATGAGTAAAACCTATTTGCATCTAACTTAATTGTTTAAAAAGATAACCTCAATTTTTATTTAATTTAAATGAATTTAATTAAAAAAATAAATAAATTTGTGCTTTCAAGATAATTTGAGCTATTAATTTTTAATTATTTTAATATAAATGAATAAAATCGGATTGAACCTAACTTAATTGTTTAAAAACATAACCTCAATCAACAAAAAGTGAAGCACCCAACTTCATTGTTGTTTATACTCGAAATATTTTTATTTAATTAAAAAAAATAAATAAATTTGCGGTTTAAAGATAATTTGAGCTATTAATTTTTAATTATTTTAATATCAATGAGTAAAACCGGATTGAACCTAACTTAATTATTTAAAAACATAACCTCAATCAACAAAAAGTGAAGTAACCAACTTCATTGTTGTTTATAACCGGAATATTTTTATTTAATTTAAATGAATTTAATTAAAAAAATAAATAAATTTGTGCTTTAAAGATAATTTGAGTTATTAATTTAATTAATTTTTAATTATAAATGACTAAAACCGATTTGCATCCAACTTGTTTAAAAAAACATAACGTCAAATTCAAAATTTGAATTTACCTATAACATTGAAGTGTTTTCTTTGCAAAGCAATCCAAACAATTCTAACAGCTATACACATTAATTTTTCAAATAACATCCTATCTTTGTCCGACAAAGAACAAGTACCCTTTAAGTGGTGGAACTTTTTGGCATCCCCAAACCCGGCGATGACTGCTAAATAAGACCGAGCAACTAAAGCTCTTAAATCAGATAAATTATCTCGAGCTAAATTCTCCAACTCTTCTACGATCGGTTGACGTAATTTATCTTTTTCATGTTCTCGTCTTTTTAGCATTTTTTCCCAAATCTATTTTAAAGAAATTATTTGAATCGATTATAAGTGTTTCTACAAACTTACATCAAGAAAACATTGAAAGTAAATGATGAGACTACGAAAGAAACGGTCTACGGTTTGTGTGTGTATAAATAAGATAAAATCCAAATTTAAATCCATTGAATTCGCTGAGTAAAGAGCAACATCTTTAAGATCTTGTACTGTTATTACAGAGGGTTCGTCAGGTTTTACACGTCTTTGAAAGTATCTTTTAAAAATAATCTAAAAAATCAAATGTTAAAATTGAATTTCTTTTAAATGATGTTTACATACTTTTTCTAATTTATCTGTGATAGCTCGAAAATTAATTCCAAGAGGATAATTTTCTTCAATATTAGCTAAATTCGTTGTAGTCATAGTTTGTTTAATTTGTGAGAAAGTCCTTGATTTACCATCCCTGCTTTTAATAAACGACAATGAATTTATGGAATTATCCCAAATCCAAGAACCGTTATTAAATAAGCCCCCCGGGTATGACATTGTTATTAAAAAATCATGACATAAACAATTTTTTTTTGACGTTATCAAAATTAATAACCCATCAAATTGTTTTTGAGATTATCTTTTTAAGAAATAATTTTGTGGTGTCCATACCAATTAATAATAAATGTTTTCGTTGAAGAGCAATCCAAACAACTCTAACAGCCATCTGGATAAGCATCTCAAAAAGTCTACGATCTTTTCCTGATAACGAAGTCATTCTTCCCGCCATGTGATGAAATTTTTTAGCTTCACCAACTCCACCGATGATAACCAAATATTCACGAGCCACGAGAGCTCGAAGATCTTCCAAGTTATCTCTGACCACGTCTTCGAGTTCTAAAGCAATGGGTTGGCGAATTTTTCGAGCCTTTTCTTCACGTTTTGATTCAATAACTTCCCAAACCTGATTATGTAGCAATATATCATTAAAAATTCAATACTTTGTTGATTAAATTTATATCTTACGTCCAAATAATATTGAAAATAGATGATTAAAGCTCTTAAAAATCGATCGACGGGTTGGATATGAAAATAATTAATGAATTCGATGCTTAAATCCTTTGGGTTTGCTAAATAAAGCGCGATATCCCGCAAATCTTGTACAGTTACTACATCCGGTTCTAATGGTTTTACTCGCCGTTGAAAATAACGCCGAAAAATTAACTGAAAATCATTTTTTTAACTTGGTTAAGTATTGAGATTAAGTATAAAATAAATCACTTTGTCTAATTTATCAGTAACATCTCTAAATTTGATTTCGTATACTCCAGCCCCTGATCCTGGTGCGGAAGATTTTGGTGCAAAATTGAATGATTTTTGTTTGATTGCTGAAGTAGTTCTCATTGCGGGGTCTCGACTAAAACAATAAAAAATTAATAAGAATTAACATAAATAATCAATTAAGAACCTAATAAATTGTAAAGTTTGTCTTAAATCGTCCCAATTCCAATATCCATCTGAGAAAGGATTCACAAGTTGAGCATCCATTTTGACAATTAAAAATATTTTGACGTTTAAAATTAATGCCGGTAATATAGATCGCGATAATTGTCAAAATTAAAAGAATTAATCAAAAATAACATTATTTATTACTTTTTTATATTAAATACCCTAAAGAACTAATGTAACATAAGTTTAAATGCTTATTTAAAAGATAATTTATAGAAAAATGGGAAAGAATACTAAAAATATTTGAGGTTGGAATTACAAAAATCGACCACTCTTTCGAATAATTATTTGTGGCTATTATTACATAAAATGTGCCTATAAACCTGCGTTTTTCATAAAACTAGATCGATAACAATTATTCCAAGATCAATTTCAACGTAATACAGCTGTTTGACCACATTGTTCCTAAAAAAAATATGTTTACCTTGGTTAAAATAAAAAATACGCATTTAGTTCATTTTAGTACTATAGGGCTGTATTCTTTTTATAATTGAGAAATTTTTGCCCCCCAATTAATACAAATGTGGGATGATAACATTCTATTTTTATAACCTCAAAAATTAATTTGTTACTAACTTCGCAGATGATAACTAACGTCACATTATTTATAAGTGAAACGAACATAACCTCAAATACAAAGAAGTCAAATTAACGTTGCCCTAGCATTGTGAATTTATTAATTTTATTCCTAAATGACGGCTGATCCTGTTGCGGAAGATTTTGGTGCGAAATTGAATGGTTTTTGTTTAATTGCTGAAGTAGTTTTCTAATTTTGGGGTCTTGACTAAAACAACAAATCATTAATAAAAAATATCATAAATAATCACTTAAGAACCTAATAAACTTTAAAGTTTGTCTTAAATCGTCCCAATTCCAATATCCATCTGAGAAAGGATTCACAAGTTAAGTACATCCATTTTTGACAATTAAAAATATTTTGACGTTTAAAATGTATGCCGGTAATATAGATCGCGTTAATTGTCAAAATTAAAAGAATTAATCAAAAATAACATTATTTATTACTTCTTTACATTAAATACCCTAAAGAACTAACGTAACCCAAGTTTAAATGCTTATTTAAAAGATAATTTATAGAAAAATGAGAAAGAATACTAAAAATATTTGAGGTTAGAATTACAAAAATCGACCACTCTCTCGAATAATTATTTGTGGCTAAAAGAAAGTTTAAAATGATTAAGTAATAGAAATATAAATAATTCGTACCTCTATAAGCGAATAATTGTGATAATGTGGTGAAAAAAGTTACGAAAGTCATTGAATTATCCAACGTTGATTTACCACCCCAAATAAATGAAGGAACTAACAAAAATAATCCAAAACTAGATAAAGTAACGCATTTCCAAGTTTCCAGAAACAAGTTTTTGTATGATTTCTTTATGTCATACTTTTTATTTCGTAATAATGTAAGGAAATAAATTAATAAAATAAAAGTGGATGTTTCTAAAAAGATACGATTAAAGTATCTTCACCACAACAAAAAAAACTTACTTATAAAAACCAAAAAACAAATGTTATAAAACATCAAATCATCAACTGTAAATTCATTTACATCAAAATGATTAGGTTGATATTCTAAATCAGGTGTTTTTAACATCCACTCATAATAAGCTTCAATTGTGTGCAAAATTATCGCGAGTTTCCAATGGAACTAAAAACAATAAACTTTTTTAAAGGGAATAAACCAAAATATATTAACACACTTTAAACTCAGTATTACATAAAATGTGGCGATAAGCCTCCGTTTTTAATAAAACCAGATCGATAACAATTATTCCAAGATCAATTTCAACGTATTTATCCGCTGTTTGACCACATTGTTCCTAAAAAAAAATTATGTTTACTTAAATTTATTTACCTTGGTTAAAATAAAAATTACGCATTTAGTTAGTTTTAGTACTGTAGGGCTGTATTCTTTGTATAATTGAGAAATTTTTGCCCCGCAATTAATACAAACGTGGGATGATAACATTTTATTTTTATAACCTTAAAAATTAAAATTAATTTGAGAATATCTTTTAAGTAACTAACTTCGCTGATGATTACTTACTAACGTCACATTTATTTATAAGTGAAACGAACATAACCTCAAAAAAAAAACTAAAATTGACGGTGGTTGTGATACGTTGATATCGCACTGTGAACTTATTAATTTACATTAATAACTGAGAAACTTTTGCCCCGCAATTAATACAAACGTGTTTATAACCTCAAAAATTAAAATTAATTTGAGAATCAAGTGGAATCAAGGTCCGTTTAGTATTGGTTATCCAACTCGAACAAATTGACGTTGACGGGGTGAGGTAGGAAACGTGACGTCATTGGAGGAATAGTATAATATAATATACAGGGTCCATTATATGTAGAATATACGTATACCTAGCATATCTTGGTAAGTATCAACTTAATAAAAAAACAATTTATACAAAAGCTGTTTCAAAAGTTGACATTGACAACTGAAAATTAGACCTAGAACTAGAAAGTTTGAGGTTTAGCCGGGCGTCTTAGACAAGAACTTCTGAATAATCTTATTTAACCCTAAATTCTTGTAGATTTTAATTGAACTAAAAAAAATTTTTTTGATTTAATCCACTTACCTTGCTTATAATTTCATCCATTTACCCATTTTGAATTAAATACAACCTTTAAATCCAATTAATTATGTGTTTTTCATTAAAAAAACCTAAAATTTAACGTCAATTTTGACAAGCACCTGCAATATTTGGATCTTAATCACCATGGTAACCGAGTCAAGTTGGATAACCTTAAAATAATAAAATTTTATTCCGATTTTTTTATCAATTCTAATCTTTATTAATTTTAAAACAATTCGAATTCTTTACGATTATCTCGCATTCATAACAAATTCGTTAATTGTAGTTAATTTAAATCGATTCTAATTAAGAGAAATAAATTAAAAATATCTTTTTTTGATTTAATCCACTTACCTTGTTTATAATACAATAGATAAACCAATTTTGAGTTAAATACAGCCTTTTAAATCAATTAAATAAGACTGTTTCCTTAAAAAAAACTTAAATTCAATTTCAATTTTGACAAGCACCTGCAATATTTGGTTCTTAATCACCATGGTAACCGAGTTAAGTTGGATAACCTAACAATAATAAAATTATAACCGTTAATATTTCGCTTTATATCTTAATATTTTTTTTAATTGTATTTATCTTTTTCATGTTTACTTAACGGATTTTGTTTGAGAATATCTTTTTAGTAACTAAATTCGCAGATGATATCTAACTAACGTCACATTGTTTATAAATGAAACGAACATAACCTCAAATAAAAAGAAGTCAAAAATTGACGTTGACATAGCGCTTTGAATTTATTAATTTTGCTCCTAAATGACGATATAACTGCCTTGTAGTAAGCTTTTAATCTGTTAAAGAATTCCCTATCTATTCATTAAGTCCAAAACTGTAATAACTGTGATATCTAGAATGAATAGAAATAATTGTGATAACTAGTCGATTATAGAGAGATATAACTGACTGTGATATTACTTAAATTTTAATTACTATTTATAATTATAATCCCTTTGCAGATCTACTTTGAGGATTTTCCTAAAGGAAAAAGTCAAGTCACTGGACCTTTGACTTACAGAAGAAGTATCCTTCAATTAATTGTGTCATCTCTACCACATAAGAAATAGAATTAGAAGAAACTCTAGGACTGGAGAATGATATGAAATAATAACCTCAAATTATAAAATTTTTAATATTTAAGAAATGGAAATTGTTATAAAAAAGGTATAAAGAGAAAATATTGATTAAAAAGTAATTTAATTTCTTTTTTTTAGAAAAAGCTTGTTGATAATCCAATTGATTTATTACAAATAGAACGTTTCCTTTATTCTCTTTCATCAATGGATAGTAACAATTATCCAATAAAAAGTAGCATTGGAGAAAGAGAAGGTCGTTGCTTCTCAAATTTAGTAGCAAAACGAAATTATTATTTCACCCATGGTATTGGGAGATCAGGAGATTTAAACGAAAGCCAACCAAAAGCTCCTGGATCTAGCTTATTATATAAAATCACAAACTTATTAATAAACGAATTTATGGAAATATCTGGGTTTGATGGTATCCATTCTATTTTAGTACCATTATCGCCACAATTAACATTACTAAATTGTTTATTAACATTTAATAGCATTGGTAATGTTAAAAAAGTGTTGTATAATGGTGTTGATAAACAATGTTATGATTTTGTTGAAAAGATGGGGTTTGAATTAATTTTGATTGACTCAAAAGATGATTTAGAAAGTGTGGATAAACCTTTATGTGTTTTAATTGATTATGAATCTATTAATTTGTTAAATAAGATAAAAAATTTGGTTCCTATAATTGTTGTAAACGCTGAGTGCGGAATTTTTAAGGATTTTAAAATTGAGAATCCTCATTTAATCATCTTTAAAGATAATAACTTAATAATTCCACCAGAAGCTTCCATTTTATGCTCATATGATATAAAATTGATTGAAAAATTTTCAAAAATGTATCCAGGACGGGCTACAATAACCTCAACAATATCTGTTTTTATTGCGTTACTTTCTAAAGGAAAAATTGGGTTGATTACTAAAAATAATCCCACAAATTTCTTTGAAAAAGATGATTTTTATGGATTAATTCCGGATTTATTCCTAAAAAAAGGCTTTGACGGATTAAATACCCGAAAAAATATGTTTAAAAATCTCCTAATTCATAAAAAAATTCCTGAAAATTCATGGAACATAAATTTAATTCAACACTTTTTATCTGAAATCGAAAACGATTCGTTACAATTAATAACAACTAATTTAATCGATGATTTATTTAAAATAATGGGTATTCAACATAAATTTAATTCAATAATATTACCTGTAGCAACCGGAATGAGCTTAACTTTAACTTTTTTAACTTGCCATAAATTAAAACCAAAAGCTAAGTACATTTTGTGGTCGAGAATCGATCAAAAATCATGTTTTAAAGCGATTAATACAGCTGGATTAGTACCGATTATTATCGACACAACGAAAATAAATAATAATTTTGTAACAAACCTAAATCTTCTTGAAGAAAAAATTATTGAAATTGGAACTCACAACATTGTTTGTATCGCTTCAACAACTTCATGTTTTGCGCCAAGAAATTGTGATGATATCGAATCAATTTCTATAATTTGTAAAAAATATGATTTGTTTCACATAGTTAATAATGCTTATGGATTGGGAAGTAAAATTTTAATGAAAAGAATAAATCGAGGAAAATTGTAATTACAAAAATTCCAAAAAAATTTAGGTTATTTTTATTATTTTTGATTTTAGGAAAGGCAATATAGATGTTTTTGTTCAAAGTACCGATAAAAATTTGTTGATTCCCGTTGGAGGTTCTATTTTAGTATCGTTTAACCCCAATTTTCATAACACAATTAAGTGTATATCTCAAAAAACTCCACCGTTTTTAATACAAGACATTTTTATTACTTTAATGGAAATGGGTAAAAAGGGTTTTTTAAATCTCATCGATAACAGAGAGATTATGTATAATTATTTAAAAGAAAAACTAATTAATTTAGCTTTAAAACACGGCGAAGAAGTTTGTGACACTTCAAATCTGATATCGATCGGTAAGTAATTTTTTGCATCATTTTTGCGATATTAATAATTTCTTTTTGAAGCAATGACTTTAACAACTATTAATTCGAAAGATCGAGTTCGTTTAGGATCATCGTTATTCCTCAAAAACGTATTTGGGGCTAAAGTTGTTACATCAGATGTTAAAATAATTTGTGGATTCAAATTTCAAGGTAAATTTTAATTTGTAATTTTATTTTTTAATTCGGAGGAGTGTTTTTAAATTGAAGCGCCAAAAAGAAGGATTGCTATTGGTCAGTTTTAAGCAAAAATTACACTACTATCCAAAAAGTGCAAAAAGCCAAGGCCCCTCACTTTAGAGATGACGACGGATGTCGCGCCTTATTTCTTTATGTAGGTAAGATAAAGGCGCGACGTACTGTCTGGGACACACCATCTGTTCCGATTGGAAGGAATTTCTGTTTTTCTTTAATTTGTAATTCCATTAAATCGCTCTTAAAAAATTAGGGAACCTTAATTTTGAAAAACTGATAACGGAATTCGACAACCAACATATTTTGATAAAAACCGCGTTGAAATCCGCCAAGTCGTTTTCGAAATAATCGCATCCTACTAAAACCGCAATTTTCCGCGAAACTATATGGAATATCGAAAAAATAAAATATGCCCCACATTAAGAACACATCGGTTTACCACCAGTTCAAATTTGAAATTTTTTCGTCAAATAGTTTTGGAGAAAAAAAAATCGTAAAGTAGACAAAGTTGCTGGCACTTTCAAAAATCGGGTACTTTTTTCACTTAACTTGCGATATAAGAAAAATCGCGGACCCGAAAATTTCCAAATTAACATGTGATACGCAGAAATGTTCATTGATTTCAATAAACTTTACCGCAATTTTTACCATCGAGCGGTTACGAAAATATCGATCTCTAAAAATCTTCTGATGAGTAAACTCGAATGTTTCTAGTTCTAGGTCTAGTGTTAGTTCTAATGATAGTGATAGTCTCCAAGCACTTAGTAGTGTTTTGCCAGCAATATATATTCTTCTGAAGGCATTAAATAATCTTTGCCAACAATATCTAGCTTTCTCCAAGCAATTAGTAGTCTTTCCAACAATATTTAGCATTCTGAAAGTAGTTAATAGTCTTTTGGACAAAGTATCTTGTCTTTCCAAGCAGATAATAGTTTCCCCCAGTAATATTTACTCTCCTTCATGCAGGTCGTAATCTTTTCTAGCAGTATATAGCGCTCTGAAAACAGTAAGTAGTCTTATGGAAGTAGTATCTCGTCTTTCCAATGAGTTTGTAGTTGTTTGTTAGCATCTATCTAGTCGTCTCCAAGCAGATTGTAATCTTTTCCACCAGTATCTAGCATTTTCGAAGCAGTAGGTACCTTTTTTGGAGAAAATATCTCTACTTTCCAAGTAGTTATTAGTCTTTTCCAGTAATAGTTAGCATTTTGGCAGCATTAGGTACCTTTTTGGGAAGCATATCTTTTCTTTCCAAGCAGTTATTAGTCTTTTCCAGCAGTATCTAACATTCTGGAAGCAGCTGGTAGCTTTCTGGAAAGCATATCTTTTTTTCAAACAATTATTAAAGTCTTTGAAAGCAGTAAGTAGTCTTGAAACCAGTATTCCGCCTGTCCAACTAGGTCAAAACCTTTAACAGCAGTGTTTAGCGTTCTGGAAGCAATAGGTATTATTTTGAAAACAGTATTTAGTCTTTTCCAAGTAATTTGTGATCTTTTTTTGCAGTATCTAGCATTTTAGAAGCAGTAGGTAACTTTTTGAAATAGTATTTTCTCTTTCCAAGCAGTTTTTAGTCTTATACCAGCAGTATTTAATCTTCTGATAGCAATAATTTCGTCTTTTGCCAAGAGTATCTAGCATTCAGGAATCAATAAGTTAATGATTTTAGGTTATCTTTAGTTTATAGATGGTAAACAACGACATTTGAGTCGTTGTGTGTCGAAAACCTAGGAAACAACCGTATTCACCCGGTTCTAGTGCAAAACTAGAACTAACCCTAGAATTAGAAAGTATCGGGTCTAATGTAATCTCTATCTGAAGACGCATAGCTAACCCAACCTGGAATTTACAACCCATCCTCTCCTCCATGACCAACCCGACATTTGAGAAATTCGCACTAGTTTAAATGTCAATTAACCTAACTCAAAGTGGAATAAAAAGATATGTCGCATCTGGGTGACAAAGAATCGAGTTTTGAAGCAGCAATTTTTAAATCTGTAATGGAAGGGACACATAAAGATATCACTCAACAGAAGAATAGTTTCAGTAAATAGTTTTCAGCCAGTAGTATTGTAATCTCTAAGCACTTAGTAGTGTGTTGGCAGCAGTATCTAGCTTTCTCCAAGTAGTTAGTAGTCTTTCCAACAATATTTACCATTCTGAAAGTAGTTAATAGTCTTTTGGACACAGTATCTTGTCTTTCCAAGCAGGTAATAGTTTCTCCAAATCGTAAAAGAGATAGAGTGCCGGATTATACCTCTCTGGAAACCATTCTGCATAGAGACGAGCCGCAAGTACAGAATATTTCCGGGATTCCCCGAAATTGTGACAAAATTTAAACACAGTTTAAATATCACAATGACACAAGCGTACTTAAACAACAGTTTCAAGTAATTTCTGTGTATAGACAACCTAAGCCTTGACGTCACAGAGATGGGCGGAGCTTATACTGACTCCAAACATTTTCGTTGCTAACGGTAAATCACCATATGCAATTTTCCATTAGTGTTAAAATAAAATAAACTAAGTGATGACATTTCAAATGACATTTTTTGGCGATTTATCTTAGCAACGAAATTGTTTGGAGTCAGTATAAGCTCCGCCCACCTCTGTGACGTCAGACTTGGGCAGTCTATTCTTAATTCGAAAGTTAATTTCAAGGATATCTAGGAAATTAAAAAACTTTTGCTAACATTTTTTTCACCAATTAGTCATTATTTGTCATGAGGAATAAATCCTCAAGTTTATGCGTGTAGATTGAGAATCACCCTGTATATTCTATCCTATAACTACTTATTCCGGAAATCTCTAAAAATGCTTCTTTACAAACACGTATAAAACCACCATCACCATCTGGAATATTGTAGCAAATAAACAGTAGTGTTTCTGTTGAGGTTCACAGTATTAGGTCGTTTAGCAGGTTTTCCATTACAACATGTAAGAATAAAAGTGTCCCGTTTAATCTTATGTGTTGATAAGTAAAGAAGATCGTGAAACCGTTTTATTTGATTCATTCTCAAAGTAGTATAGAAGTAGGGGGAATCCCGGCTTGCCATTATGGCCACAGGTAGAAAACGTAGGTAACTGTTTTGGACGGTGTTTATTTGAAAAACATAATAATTCTTTTAATAGGTCTTGTTCAAGTAAATCTTACCTTGCTATTTGCATTTTCTGTCAATTATTAAAGCAAATAGCTAATTTTGCATCTAAACTATCAACACAAATAGCGAATTTTGCATCCAACACTAAACTTTAAAGGTGTTTTTATATTAAATGCTGAGTTTTGTTTGGAACTGACCTAAATATCGTATTTCTTGGAAAATTATATGTACAGTTTTGCATCTATACGCAGTAAGTAGGTACGCCCTAATTTTTATTATGTTTAAACAAATAATAATTAAATTCGTAACTACAGTTTACACATACAGTGTATTAATTGATTATCGTACCCGACGTCATCATTGCAAGTATGCAACCAATATCACAGTATGGGTATTGCAATACGCAATTTGCGTATTGGGTTGCATACGTGCAATGATGACATCCGGTACGATAATTAATTAACACACTGTACTTAAAATCCTCTCTGGTTTTAAAACTCCCGCCAAAAAATAGCTTTGAAAAATGACACTGTGTAAACGTGACTTTTCATTCTACTCCTTCGAATTAAAAAAAAATGTTTAACAATAATAAATAATTTTTTATCATTTTAGGTTGGGGATCGCACTCTAATGAATGTAATTTTCCTTACATAGCTTGTGCGGCAGGTTTAGGCGTAACGCAACAAGATATCGACGGTTTTGTAACCAAATTAGATAAAGAAATGTTACTTTTAAAACAAAATAATAAATAATTCATGAAATCTCTTTATCAATTCGAATTTAATTCAATGAATAATTCATTTGTATTAAAACCAAATTCCTAAATAATTTTTTTTATAAAATTTGTATATTTACATATATCCTAAAAATTATTTTATTTCTATATTAACTACTTCTAACATCGTTTATTGTTGCGGGTACTTGAACCTCCAATCCATCTAATTTCTCACTTAATATAATCTGGCAACCCAATCTTGAGGTGTCGCTTAAATCGTAAGCTAAATCTAACATATCTAATTCTTCATCACTCGGTTTTTCAGGAAGTTCATCAAAATCACTTTTCTTAAAAATCAGGTGGCAAGTAGAACATGTTAGTGTCCCCTCACACGCTCCAAATCCATCTAAATCCACGTTATTATTTACCACAACGTCTAAAAGTGAATCACCAATTTTTCCTTTGGCGTTAATTCTTTCTCCATTTGCTTTTATAAAAGTTACGGTTACTCTAAAATTAACCTCGTCTAATTTAAATATAAATACGTTTAATACACATCAAAAACTTACTCTTTTTTATTTAAAACGGGAGCTGTAGTGCATAAAATTCTTGTAATTGATAAATTTGAGGTTAGGTCGAAATTTTTACGAGTTAATTTGGGTAAAAAGCTTCTAAAAACTTGCCTGAGTGCCATTTTTTAAACTTATTAATAGGCTTTCACTTATAAAAATAGCAAAAATTTAAACTTTCTCTCTATATTTTTATAACGGGCAACGTCCAATTTTTAATTTTGACATTTGACAATTTATATGTCAATGATAAAATAGAAATCGATGTGAAGTTGGTAAAGTAGAAATCTTATGTGTATGTTGGGTTGCCTATACAAAAGGCTAACTTAGATTATTTTGATATGTTAATAAAATTTGAGATAATTCGTTTTATTTAAAAGATAATGATTTAATTTGGATTAAGATGGTGTTTTAGTTAGTGTTGAAATGTTTTAAAGAGTTTTTTAAGGAGGGTTAGCTGCAATCTGAAATAGGCGGAGTATAAAGCGATTGGTCTCCCCGCTTAACATTTCCGACCAATACACTGAATAGAACTAATTGAAGATGGCCCCAACGGGCAACCAATGGTTGCAAAGACCCAAGAGAAGGTCGATCGAACATTATTACTACAAAAGCGCCAAACATGTAACCAGGTGAGAGTATCGTCAAAACAAAAATAAAACAAAAAGAAAAGCGATTTTTTTGTAGTCCTGTTCGTTTAAGATTTCTTAAGATTGGTTTTATTCTTTTTATTTTGAAAACCGCGTCTTGGTTCTTCAAACTTAACTTCTCAGAAGTGGCTCGTATAAATCGGTTATTTTTTTATTTCCTTTTTAATCGATGGAGAGTTAATGAACAAAAGAACCGATCGACATCATGGCACAGTTCCTATCAGTTTTCAAAGACTTTTTTAAACATATTAGAGAGCGAGAAATACAAGTTGAAATAAAGGGTGGGGAAACGGCACAAAAGGTTTTGTTTTACATGAAAAGAGGGGGACTTCTTTGTCACCGTCACGTTTACGTTCACGTTTAGCGGGAATAATATTAACCTATTTGTGCTTTTGTTGGTTGACGACTTGTTTCGGCTTTTATCGAAACAAAAAAGAAATAGTCGTGAAAATTTGTTTTTTAAAAGATTATAAATTAAAATTTAGTACTCACCTCTTAGTTGTGGTAGAGGTTATCTTAAGGTTAGAGTTAATTTTTCTTCTAAGCCATATTTTGGGGTCATGGTATATTTCTATACACTTCGGATTAAGCAAGCTTACAGCTTTGGTAGAATCCTTCTTGAGATAATCAGGCTTTGCAGGCCGTGAAAACGGTGTCGGCTCTGGTTAATGACTGTAAAACATAACAGAGTCTCTTTAATCTGGGTCCCACGTCATTCTGGGATTGCTGGCAATGAAGCGGCAGATCTAAAACCTTTGTGGGGTCACAGCAGTTGGTATATCATTTGAGATGGCCAAACATAGGATTGGACTCTTATCAGCTTTCTTGGAATGAGACACGCTAAGTTAAACTAACTTAATTTTTGAGTCGCAGTATGTTCTTGAGGATTTGAAGTTCAATGGTAAGTCATTTTAGCACACACAAATCGACTTTTTGTTCTCATCAACATTTATTTTGCTTTTTTGGGGTCTTTATGAGCTAGAACCATTCAAACCATCTAATCCAAGCAGATAAGGAATCTGTTGAAGTCAAGGAATTTCTTCTAAATCAACGTTTTTCAATGTTATCTGCTCCACCAGACATCTAAAAAGATATTTAAACTTATTATAACGTAAAATTCTTGAAAATTGTAATTCTTACAAGTACAAATTTGTTATTTCCGTTCAGATAAATTGTAATTTCAATACGGCAACTCCACTCAACTTGTATTCTCCTTCTTTTGAGTCTTGTATGTATGTTTACTAGATACATTGTGACTCCAATGCAGTTTCAAAGTTATTGGAACGCTGGTCTAAGTTGATAGTGTGCAACTTGTTTGTGTTCTAAGATTTTGTGCTAACCTATAACAATAAATAATTGAAATTAATAAAAAAGTATTAAGATTTCTTGCAATTATTAAAGTTGTTTTTCATTTCATTTCATTTTCACATCATTTCATTATGACAAGTTTAAATTTAGTGTTGTCTCTTCTTGCTTTTGTGAAGTTGAGGTTGCAATGAGATCTCGCTCCTGATAGATTTGTTGTATCTTAAATGCAAAATCATTGATTTCATAATATCTGCGTTTATGTTTTCGCGAAATTGCTGAAGTAGTAGGTAGGACTCATTCTGCAGTCCAAGGAGTTATTAAAAATTATAAATCCACTGCTTCGAGGCCGTATTTAGGACGCCCGTCTAAGCTGATTGAGAGAGAAAAACGCCACATTATTAAAGAAGTGCGGCAAAATCTAAATCTTACGGCTTCCAAAATCGCATTCACATTTGCAGTGATACTGTGTGCAAGTATGGAATTACAATCTAGTATGGTAGAAGCAAGAAACTGCTCTCGACAGATAGAATCTCGCTCCAACAGAAAACACAGCGGCGGAGGTGTAATGGTGTTGATTGTTTTTATCGAATCAGAGCGTTAATAAATTAGGCTTAGAGAATGGATTCTTGTTCCAACAAGACAACGATCCCAAGTACACTGCAGAAATAGTTAATTAATAATTAACAATTGCATACACCCCCACAATTACCAGCTCTCAATCCCATTGAACACATATGGGATTTATGGGAGTTTAAGAATCGGCATAACTTCAAAAACAATGCTGAAGGACGTAATTATTGAAGAATGGAGTAAAATAACAGTGCCTCTTGTAAATTTCCTGTCATTAATCTTAGAGTACTTTAGTAAAAGGACGCAATTACTGTAGTTAATGGTTATATACGGCAAGACCGACCAGAGCACAGAGAGCCAAATACAACAAAGTCAGAAGAACAACAAAAGAGTGCTCAATACTCAGGAATAAAAATTCCAAAATAAAAACCTAAGGAAAGCATATAGGGAGGACAATATTTTCAAAAAAGGTTACAAACTAAGAAGTAGCTTAAGTATTAGAGTTACTTAAGAGGAGCAGATAATTGGAGATACCCACCAAATCGATAAAAGATGGAATGAATACTTTGAAGAACTGCTGAACGACACCCATGATACAGCGGAGCACGAAAGTACAGGGATAACAGCCGGTGGAGGGGGAGGAGTTTGCAGAACCTCCTTATCACCTACAGATGATAACATACCAGCAAAACTACTGAAGAATGGAGGCCATGACCTCACCAAAGCGTTGACTGACCTCAAAGAGAAAGTGTGAACATCAGAGTGCATGCCAAATGAGTCGAAAACGAGTATTGTATGCATGGGAGTAGCCAGAGGATGCAGTATTGCGCTGCAAATACACTAGCTCTGTGCGAAACAAGATGGTCTCAAAAATACCGAAGTATTTCTATCTTCATGCAAAACTTCTTAGGAATCGTACATGGTCTAGAGAGACTCGCAGAGGAAGGAAACACTGCTACAAGAAAGACAGCCTATTTAATACCTCCACCTGCATTATATCTAAGTACTCTACTTTACTGGAACCTGTTGCAAATGTTTTGCAGTCAAAGGGATCTCCTCCAATGTAAAAACCACATTAAGAAAATTGTTGATCGTCAAACTACGGATGCCATGATGAAAGATCTCTTTGCTTCTACCAAGGATTGCGGAGAAAATACAAATAGAACTTCATCCATCCAAAATAGTAAAGCACCAGCAGCATCGTTCAAACACTCCTGCAGATTCACCTGCTGAGTATTGGAAACGTACGATAATTATTCCATACCTAGACTCTTTAACGTCAGCATTGCAAAACAGATTTTCTGTAGAAAACGTACCGACCTTTTCTATATTATCACTACATCCTTATCTTATGCTAAATTTGAAGATTTTAAACAGGGAGCAAAATCTATTGATGAATTGTACAACCTAAAAGAGCTTCAGTCTGAAACTGAATTATGGTATCATGTCTGGGCCGAGAAAAACCTTGATAGACAGATCTTAAAAGATCTGGAAATGGTTGAAGTGATTAAAGAAGCTAATATATTCTTATAAAAATGCTTTAATAATGTCAATAACGCAGCCTTGTTCCACAAGTACAATAGAAAGATCATTTAGCACATTAAGACGTGTCAAAACATGGTTGAGATCTACAATGGAGGAAAACCGTTTAAATGGACTATGTTTAACGAGTGTGCATAAAAATCTTGTGTCAGAAAAAAAAGAATGAGATAGAGTTAGAAGTCATAGAAACATTTTCTGAAAATCCTAGGCGATTAATGTTATAACCTAGTATGTTATAAACCCCCCCTCCCCTCCCTCGGTCATGCAAGTCTCCAAGATGTCTACTCTAATTATTGTATTAATGTATTAGTTTCAGTTTCGGAGATAGCCTATGCGGACAACGAAATTGGGACACCCTGTACATTATGAACTCTTCAAGGAAGCGTTTCAACATATATAAAATTGCAAAGGCTCAAATGGGCGGGCCATATAGAAAGAATGGAGGTTCATAAGAGTGGATCTGAAGGAACTTGAAGGCAGATAAGAAAACCAGGTAATCGCTGGCGGGATAAATTGGAAACAGATGCACGAACCACACTATAGGTGCATAATTAAAGAGTGATAGCGAGGGTCAGAGTGGTCTGGAGGAGGAAAATAGACAAGGTCCGAATTGGACTGTAGCGATTAGATGGTTGGAAGCAGTTGATTACAACATCTTAAGGCTTGGATTTCTAATTTGATTATTTATGGCATAAATATTTTTCATCAAAGAAGCACTTGGGTTGCGACCAAGTGAAAATGGAACTCGTAATCAAGATTAAAGCTTTGTAATTTATTTTTTGGACATCAGCAATAAAATAAATTATGCCCTCATTATATCTCAAAAATATCCTCAATAAATCATCGTTTTCTCATTAAGACAGTGCTATTTTCTAATTTCCAGATACATTAAGAATCTTTACAAAGTCATATGGTCTGTGGAATTGTCAACTTCCGTTATTTCACGAAGAGATCTCTCTTTCATTTCGGTTAACCGAGAGCGAATTGTCTTGATATCACAGTTTGTTATTTTTTTTGTATTTTCAATACAATGCGTACTCCTGATATAAATTATTTTCAAATCTTTAGATTGTCTAAAAACAAATAATAAAATTTAATCATTTTTATATCAATTCAATTCGATAATATTCTCTTTAAACAAATAAAGGGGGTGATGGCTATAAAATGCAAATAGAGGGTTGGGTTGGGTTAGGATCCGCCCCCGGGGGGCGCAGAACATCGACGCCAAGAGACGCGGCGTCGTCGCCGTCGTCATCGCACCATCACAACCGTCGGAAACGTTCTCGTTCTCCGACAATCCAACAAATCCATTCAACAATCATCAATATCGCGCGCTATAAGTGTTATTATCTCTTTTCTTATCGTTTTATTATATCAATTTATTTTCCTTCGTCGTTTTCTTTTTCAACGTTTTTTTTTATCGTCCTTCGTCGCCCGACATCGTCGTCTTCTTCAACGCCCCCTTTTTCTCCGTCGTCTTCCCCCCAAAAGCACGAAAGCGTTTGGACGTCATCGAAAGAGGTGAGTAGTTGATGTTTGAACGTCTCAAAGACAACTTTAATTTGTATAAATTTTTATTAATGAAAGTGTTTCATTTTGAATTATTGAAAGTTAAGCGATGTGTTTTTGTGTTGTTTCGGGTTTAAAACGGGATGATTTCGGTGAAAGAAGAAAGTTTTTAGTGAGATGATTAAATGTTAGTGTTTTGGGTGAGTTATGAAAAAGAAATTTTTTTTGTTGTAATTTTGAGAGGGTGGTAATTTTAAACGTACCCTTAATTCGTGAAGAGCTTCGAGTATACAGAGTATCCGGGAGCTATCCGAGGGGATTAGGAAAAGAAAATACGGGGTCGAAAGTGGGATTAACGCTTAATACCAGGTTCCGTTTGCTTCAAATCTTTTTCGAAACACTTTCCTCCATAAACATTTACCAAACGATTTATCACTTTCCTTTCTCACCTAAAATAAGTTAAAAAAAAAAGTTAATAAACAAATTATGTTTTGACAACATCGATTA